CGGGTCGAGAGGGTGCCCCAAGATGTAAATCAATTGGGGATGGCAGAGTCTTGGACAATTCCCGGGTCGCTCAGGTCGCTTTCCGGGCGGGATTTCGTCACTCCAACAAGGGTCCGGAGGGGTAGGGGAGGTAAGGTCTAAGGTCTAGGTCTAAGGCTAAGGACTAGGTCTAAGGCTAGGGCCTAAGGCTAAGGCTAAGGCTTAAGGCTAAGGCTAACATCAACAGTCACGCCCTGACCCCACGAGTGGGGTCGGCGGATATATATAACTCTTCTACTATCTTCTACTTAATTAGGTCGGAACTTTGTTTGTACATGTGGCTTTTCCCTCCACAATCCTCCAGCCCTCCACCTCAAACTTGCTTCGACTCCATCCGAAGCAAGTCGGGGCACGCCTCGCGCGGCACGCCGCGTACGCCTCGCGCCGCGCGATTGGATGTCCCTCAGCGGCAGGAACCGATGTGCCCAGCGGATGCAAGTGCAAAGATGGCGGGGGAACCTCCGGCGGCCGATCGCGCCACGCGTTGGGTCCAGCGGTATATTTATTGAACATGTATGAACATGAATTTTCTTGAAGTAAACTCATGTGGGCCACACTGAAAGACTGTGTCACTGTTGAGGGTTGACTGACATGGTTCACTTTGCCAGTGTGGGTTGTTCAGCTGAAGTGGCGGTACAAATGCAGGGTTTGACGCGACCCACGAGTTCAATAGTGCATCAGAGGGACGATTCCCTTGTCTTCATACAATCGGTGCAACAACCTGGCTGAAACATAACAAGGTGTGTTGATGGAAACGTATTTGCAGTACATTTATTTATCTAAAGAGGGATTCACTGCTTTGTCTCTTTTGGAGTCACCACAAACATCCAAGAACATCTCCCCTTACAGGGATTTCTCCATCCAAGAACATCTCCCCTTCGGATAGCTGACGCAGCTTGATCCACCGGGGTCGGGTTTTGCACGTTTCGCATCCACAGCTTTCCAAGTTCTTCAATCCATCCGCCGGATTCGATTGAACATGAACACAAGTACACACAAGCGATGTTAAGTCACCGGTCATAATCTTTTCAAGACACGCTCACATCACTTCAAAAGTTTGTGAATGGCCAGGCTACAAAGGCACCATCAAAGCCACCACCGCTCCTCGGGCCGGCAGCGAACGGGGTGAGCAGGTTGCCGTGCATCAACTGAACAAGGTTGTGGGACAGAGCCAAACTCTGGAAAACCAAGAGAGTTTGGGAAACCACGATAATTTTTTCTTGAGGTACGCCCAGGTTGTCATGGGATTTCATTTGGTAGCATCTGAATTGGGAGGTGTTCTTTAATTCTGACAAGGGGTCCAACCCGCCCGTGCGGATTGATTCGATGGGCGACCAGCTTGGGGTCTGAAGCAAATGGGCTGACCTCCAAGGTCTCCCAAAAGCGAGCTCTGCAAATTCGGTCAGGACACCATGAACGCATCTGGACACCCCAGTGGACACCTCAAGCCGTGCCACGTCGTCTTCGTAGGCCGGGTCCGGGTCGTCAAGCGCCGGAGTGCCCAGGCGGAGCCCTTCTACGAGGGCGTTTGCACGCCGGTGGCCTGCCCAGCGAACTCTGCCGGCAACAACGTGCCCGGTGGCTGCGAGTGCCTGGCAGGCCTTGAGCCGCAGACGCACAGGGCTTTGGAGACTTGCTGCGTTGATGGGAGGCTTGTCAAGCCTGAAATGCAATCTCAGTTACTCGTACATAGTACTAATAGTACACCCAGCCTTGGTAGGGGTTTGACTTTAAGGAGTGGATGCTTGAGGAGTTTCAGAGGCCAAAGTGCCGAAGCGTGCCACGTTTACGCGGTATCAGCCTGGGAACGACAAGGACTTTGAGCAGCTTTGAACGATGAAATACGGGCCTGATTGAGGGGAACCTGCACGGCATATATACCCTATATCTGGATGATTGCTGTGAACTTATACTTGTATGGTGCATAGAGGTAGTCCACTCTGCACCAGTCTGACTCCCGGCACATTCCGCTAACTCAACAGAGATTCACCGTTTCGCCTTTATACAGGTGGATCCATCATCCCAATCTGCAAACCCATTTCGAGCACCTTGGATCCATCTGGACTTGAAGATGCATGGAGACGCTCCGCGTCAGGCTTCTCGGGTAGCATCACAGGCGACGACACCAAGCCGTGGTACGAGGGGAGCTGTACGGCTGTGAGCTGCCCTAAGGGCTCTTCAGGCTGGGGTCTTTGCCTTGTATCAGCTCTGGTGGACATGCCAGGGTCTGATGAACATATATACAGAAGTGCGTACTAGCCCCTAGGCAATTTGCAATTCTATTTAAAACGCAGCTATGCAAAAATGGATGTACGTGGTTCAGCTTGCGCTCCCAAGCTCCTGCTTCAAGTGACTGTCATCCATTTTCGAGTCACCTGAATCCACAGATCAATGGCCTCATCGAGAGGCACCGATCTGCCTACGGGCTGCACCTGCAAAGCGGGCTTCAGCGGCAGCGTTACCGCAACGCCTCTTGGATCTCCACAGTTCTGTGGCACAGGAGGAGGGGAAGATGAGGAGTCGGCGAAGAAGGAAAGGAGGTCGCTTGTAGGTTGGAGGCCATCACTACTCTTTGGGAAAAGCATGGAAGCACATTCAAACTGCGAAGCTAGCAGTAACTATAGTAGCATCATCCAAGAAGAAGTGGATGCAAGATGGGGCGTGTTTGGGCAGAATGACAATTGTTTAAATGGAATTTGGGATTGTTCATTTTCTTTCTACTTGCACAGTAACTGGTGTTTTCTTCTTTGGGGACAACGATTACTCTTCACCTAAAATAGGGCGCTGGTGGTCGCGGTTGTTGTGGGGGTAGTTCGTAGTTTAGGTCACGGATACACGGATGCAGCTTATGCACCCGATGGTCGCGGTCTCCCGAAGGGATCTGAGGTCTCTGCGGCCGCGTGTTATTGCTCTGGAGCCATTTTTCCGCGGTCAAGCAAAGTTGCTCAACGATGGCAAGAACGAACCATGGGGAGAATCTTACTCCGATCCCCTTGGTCCGTGTTTCTAATCTGTATGACTGCAACACCAACGGGGGTATGGAGTGTGCAGAACCCGCAGTTCTTTCTCTTCCCTTCCGTTGGACTTTTGGGATGCCGACATGCAGGCGCCTCAATTTGATAGAGCTGGTGACCCCTAGTGAGCATGAAACACATAAGCTCTTGGCGAGAGGCCCCTATTCTTCAATGCAAGGGCAAGCAAAGCCGTGTTCAGAAATTCACTAAGCCGGTTCGTGCGCATTGTTTTGCTAAGCTAGCACAGGAAATTTATGGCCTAAACTATGGCCTCTTGGACCTTAGGAAATTGAGCCGAGAACAACCGCCCACCCTTCGTGGCCGTTTTCGTGGCCGTCTCCGTCTCGTTCTCATCGCTGGGGTCCTGAGGAAAAAGACACCCTACTTTTCGGGTGGCTGCGACGCCGCCCCTGCGACCGCAGCGAGAAGCGAGTCGACAAGTTGGGGCGGAGGGGAAGGGATGAGGATCCCAAATCAGAGCGACTCGACCCATGGAAAGCTGCACATCTCCGGGCACCAAACTGAAGCCCCTTACCCTGATTTGCTTCCAAACGAGCTGATGCAGAAAACTCGGGAAGACCGCAAGAGGTCCATGCGGTGGGGTGGGATTGGATTTTGATGTAGATGGTGCGCTTGCTTTTGCACCCCCTCGGGAACCTTAGCGCAGCTTTTTTTGGCCGGTGAATTCCATGGCGACATTGCTGAGGTGTCCTGCCCTGACAATTCTGAAGGAAAAAATGCGCCTTGGTCCTGCAACAAATCGAGTCACATAGCATTTCCTTCACGGCAAGATGATTGACCAACGGATAAGATTATTCTAGATGATGAGAGCCCATAGAACTGGTGAGCTGCCACCTTGTCCATGGCCCCGCCAACATGAACCGGAGGTCAGAAATGAACTCAAGTCCTGTTGCTTGAACTCTTCTTTCACCCCAGACCTACAGTACTCATTTCATTCTCGGGACAAGAAGAAACCTACGACCAGTGCGTTTCCGTCCATTGCTCGAATGGATGAAACTCTCAACCCCCCGACCCGACCGCTATCCACCTTCTTGGGTTCATCATCCACTGTCCACATCCGCTGTCCATCACATCTCCCACACACGTCGCACGTCCGAACTGCAGAGGCCAACATGGCCACGACGTTCTTCCTCTCATTTCCTCTCTTCCAGGCTCATCCCTTCCACCGGCTCATCCCACCGGAGTGGCCTGGCTCATCGCGTCCCAGGTGCCACGTGGCTGCAGCTGCAAGACGGGCTACACCGGCACCATTACGGCGACCAGCAGTGGCTGGGCGATGGCAAAAACGGGGACAGAGAGGTCTTTGTGTTCTGTCGATGTGACATGTTTTGTTGTGGTCTCTTCATTTCGTTCATTTGAGGATCCACCAGACGAGAGAAGAGACGAGACGGGGACGATGAACAAGCAGAACATACCGCATTCATCCGCATTCCATGCCTCGGACATCGGGAATCGGCATTCCAACTCGTTTTTTTCCTGCCGGGGTGTGTGTGACTCGGACCGGCCTGTGTTCTCCAGGATGGTGGACATGTCCCATAGACCCATAGACGCTACCTTTCTCGAGTGACAAGTTTTAGACAGGGGGAACACGAGGTTTGGCCAGCTCAAAATTGCTCAAGATTCTCAATAATTAGATCCAATTAGTGCCGGACCTGCACACCAATTGCCCTAGACTAAGGACACTTCCATTGTTCCACTGATTAGGTTTTCAGCTTATTTGACAACGCGCTAATTTAAAATAAGCAACAGGCAGATGGGGACGTTTCTTTGTCCTGGCAACTCTTGATCTGTTGGAGACGGCGGTGCGAAAACCTGTTGCTTTTAACTGAGGCTCTCCTTTCTTCTCTGGGGAGTGCAAGGCCACTTGCAGCCTCTTCACTTGTCCTCAGGGATGGAAGCCGAAGCCCGGCGACACCATCGGAGACACCCAGGACGCGACACCGGGCGACGGTGACGGTGTCGGAGGCTCCGGTCAGACGGTGTCGGAGGGAAGTGGAAGGTGGATCCAACATGACTTGCTTTTGGGCTCCAACTTGATGGGAGAGTGATGGGAGACCCGCCAGCTTGCCCTGGTGATTTGGTACGGCGTACTTGTGATTCAAGAAATCATCGTTTCTTACTCTTTTCCACCAAGAGATCGTCCAAAAGCGGCATCATGTCAACCAACTCTGGAACTTCGGAGAATCGTCCTGGCGCTCTTCACCAAACTACATGCCCCCAAAAGCGCAAGTTTCAACAATACCACCCAACATGCTCCTCCCCACCTTTGCACCCCGTGACGACATGCCCACGGCTCCCCCAAACCGCGTGATGCGGCGGTCTCCGGCCACGGTCCCGCCAGGAGCTCTGCTGCGAGACCGTGGCCTGCCCGGGCAACTCGGCCGGCGCTTCGGTGAGCGCTGGCTGCAGCTGCGACGCCGGCTTCTCGGGGCCCGGGCGCCCGGAGGAGGGAGGAGGGTGGGTGGGCTGCGTGAACGCGGTGAAGTGCAGCTAAGTGGGCTGGGTGAGTTGATCAAATGGGTGTGACGGTGGCCTTTTGCACTCTTTAGGAAGCTAGCATGCCTTTTCGGAGGGACCGACCGGTGAGAGAAGAGCAGTCTGGCCTTTTTTCTGGGCCGAGAACAAGCGAGCTCAGGGCGGTGACCCCGAGCTCCAAGAGCCCCTTCTACGAGAACGGCTGCACGGCGGTTCAATGTCCGGTGCACTCCACTGGAAAGACCGTCCCCAGCGGCTGCTCCTGCAATGCAGGCCGGGGGGTGCACCGGTTGGGACAGTGGACATGTTTGCTTCTTTGAGCTGGTCAAGTTACTCACGTGCAGGGATATGGGACACAGATGGGAAATACATGGAAATACAATATAATATAATATATATATATACATACCATTATATACCCATGCTGGACATTTTTATATATTTTTATATTCAGAAATTCGGCAGGTGCACTGCTTTCAGATTTGCAATCCAGTTGAGAAAAGTATACAGACGTTCTTCAGACGATGTAGTAGACGATGTCAGGCCGGATACCGCCCAGACAATGAACGGAAAGGACCATCTGTGTTTTCAGCCTCAATCAGAGGCACGTTGAACAGGTGGGTAGTTCTCAGAATGGTGATCATGCAACTAAAGGGTCATGGCTTGTTTTCCCTCCATTTCCTCACATGGATGGCACTGTAATTGTACGGCAAAAAGTCCAGGGCCTTTCTGCCGACTTACCTAGGTTCTACCATTGGAAGTGCTTTATATAATCTCCATGATGTTTCTCAGGGAAATTAAAACAGATGAGCTCACGTAACCAGCTGGTGAGAGAGCCCTTCCTCTCTAGCGGCCAGGGAGCTACACTCCAAACGTCCCAGAAACCACGCGCAGCCGCGCCGGCCTGGACAACCTTCGCGCTCCCAGGCTACAGTGGCAGCATCACAGCCAGCAGTCAGACGCCCTTCTTCGCCGGCAGCTGCGAGGCGATTTCAGGGTCGCTGCGCGAAGACGTGCAAAGCGAACGTCGCCGCGAACGTCTCGCTGCTTCCACGAAGACCGAAGACGAGGAGCTAGTTCTTTCTGTGCGACTCCTGGAGGAAAGGAAGCGACGAATGGAGACCTAGGAATGTTTCTTGGAATTTTGTCACCACGGCCGCATGCTTTTTGTTTGAACATCGCAGGCGGTGGCTTGCCCAGATCATTCATCTGGGGCTGACGTGCCTTGGCTAAGGTGAGTTGGTTGGAGGGTGAAGAGCCTGGTACCCACTGACTAACACTGAGTGTGAGTCCGATGATCTACCGACGGCTCGACTTTGGACGGAGAATTAGTGTGAAGTCCAACCGCAGTTTGGTAGAGATCCCCCAGCTGCGCAGAGGGTTTTGGCTGGAGTTGGGACGCCGCCCACTTGATTTATCCGTTTACACTCGGACACACCAACATGGAAGTTATTTTCCTTTAAACAATTAGCCTGACTGGTGCTTTTTGTATATGTTCCACTTCTATGTTGTGAGTTGGCGGGCGAAACCAGATCAAACACCTTCATGCCTTCGAGTCGGTCTTACCAGTCGCTCGAGTACCCCACATATACTTGGAGACGGAGAGGGACACTATGAGTGGATCAAGGGCACAGGTGTTGGATTTCGGACCAGAAATGATCCACTGGCAATTTTAATGGCAACTACTTTGGAGGAAGAATTTCGGGGGGAAAAAACACATCTTTCCATACCATTCTCCTAGATCTCTTCGATGTCACGCTTTGTGATGCGTTTCGATGTCACCTTTCCGTCGTGCAGGGCACCTACGTTCCTCCTGGACCTCTCGGACTGTCACGTGTGGTGGGTTTCTCAGGTGCCCAGTGGCTGCAAGTGCCATGCTGGATTCTCCGGTGCCGTCCAGGCCACGACCACTGCACCGCCCCTGGGCGAAGAAGGAGCCCCAAATTGATGGGGTGGGGGTGGGGCGGGTGAAGACATTGAGTGGAGAAATGGTACTGTACCAGTTCAAGCCCGTGCCTTCTGGGCTTGTGGGGGTGAAAGAGTTTTATTATGTTTTCTTCCAAACATCTCCGTGTTCCTGGAGATTCCTGGCTTATCTTGGCTGAATTGGCTTTCCTAGCTCATCTTGACTGAATTGTTGGTTTGATACTTACTTGATCATCACGACAAAGACTCACACAAGAACACAGTCTCAGATTCGTGTGTACGCCGGTCTCTCAAGATTCGTCCAGATTCGACATTCATGCTCTTAGATCGGGGGTGGGAGTTGAAAGAAGTGAAAAAAGGCACCCATGTAACCAGGTCGTGCCTGTCAGTGGATCCTTGTGTTCACTTGGTGAAATATATAGATTTGTATTTGCCTAGAGTCTAGAGATTTTGCAAAAAGAATAAACAGATATGTGCAAGTCATCGTCCCAAACCTAAGACATGTGCAATTTGCCGGGACAGTCTCGATCTTGCGGACGTGGGGTGTAATATTCGCCCCTCTAAAACCGGACTCTTCTTGGGGAAGGTCCACTTTCTTTCACGAGCAGGGCAGAGTGTAAGTCATGGAAAGGCTTTTGGTTTTGCAGCGCCTTGGCGCCACACAAGTTGGTGGCAGAGAGAGAGAGAGAGAGAGCCACACATGTTGAGGTTCTTTACCAGCACCTGCAAAGCGGTGGCCTGCCCTGCCAACTCTGTCGGCACGGACCGCGTTCTTTTTTGGGGGCAGTGCAGGGCTGCAGGGAAGTTGGACATGGGTTGGACACTTCTGAGAAAAGAGAATCGAGAGGTAAAGCAAGGGGCAGCTAGTGTCAGCTAGTTCTAAAATTTGTTCATGTTGTGGCATAGCGAAAGACCATGGGATACCATGGGTATTTATGATGAATGATGCTGCAAAGCTCTACTGGTAGTACGGGCAGATGTTGCGAGACTCCTATCGATCCAGTGCCCTGCATGATGAGACCAAGACACATTCGGAACATGCTAGAATGCAGCCGGAGCATGCTCTCTGGCGCTCTCTTTCTTTTAGGAGACTCCTCCAACAAAACTGATCTTGCATACTGGTCATCACGTGAATCTTCCGGACTGACGGCTTTCCGTGGTAACATCACTTATGGTGCATATAGTGTTTCCAAGTGGTTGAATCACCCCTCGGAAGCATACCTCACGGAGCCCATTAGGAGCAAGCCTCAGAGCAATTGTTTGCGAAGACATCTTCATCATTCTTCATCCTGCCTCTTGTGTTTGCTGGTCTTTCACATTCTTCGTAACTCTCCGACACCTCTTCGACACCGGTCACCCTCGCGCGGACACCTCTTGTCACCACGAGGACGTGGCGAATGGCTGCCAGTGCCAGGCGGGCTACAGTGGGAGCATCGAGGCCTCGCAGAAAGCCCCCTTCTACACCGGCAGCTGCGATGCGGCGACTGGGCAGCAAGGGGCTGTTGGAGCTCCAAGCTGTTTTCGGTTCCACCTCAACAACCTGGCTGAGGTTGTTTTGTAGACTTGCTCAGCACAGCAACCGATGGTCGGTTCTTCAGTTCTGCCAGGTTTTCCAAACGGCCAAAGATGCATTTGGTGGAACTGGGGCCACCGCATGGAAGGGAAGAGGGACACTTTAGATCATTGATGGTTGACTTGCTTTCGCATCCCCTCCATGAGTGGGTCCATGTCCAGTGTGCTCGGTCCATGTTGGCCGCGGCGACCAGGTCGCCTGCCCCAAGAACGCCAAGGGCACTGACGTCCCCAGCGGATGCACATGCACCATGGCGATCACCAGGGGGCATCAGGGGGCGATGCACCAAGTGATTGGTGGTAGGGACAGATCTTTAGCAGATGACGTTGGGATGCATTGAAGGTGTTTGAAAGCTGTGTGTGGACGATGTGTATTCTAAATAGAGGCCCCAAAGACCTTCGTGAAGCGCAAAAAGATAGACTTAGACAATCTTACACATATACTTATAACATATACAACTTATACCCAATTTGCGAGGTCTCACTATTGACAATCAAAACCCAGATGTTTCTGCGAACGCACAAAAACAGCGGCATGACCGGCCAAGGCAAGGATGGCTTCAGCGGAAGTGTCTCTGCAAGCACTGCGGCTCCCTACTACACCACGACATGCACCCCTGTGGAGTGCCCTGAGAACTCAGCAGGCAGGGCCTGCAGGGTAGTCGGATGTGCACATACACATATTATGTAACTACCAATACCGGACCGCGCACATACTCATACACTTAGTGGACACATTGAACGGTTGAGTTGAACTGGGTTTGCAGCAATTTGGCAATTTATATATGCCGCAGAATGCCTTCCTCAGCTGCCTAGGCAGCCTACCTTAAACTGCACTTCATCAGCTTGTCCAGTTGACCAGGTCAAAACGTGCCTAAGGGCTGCATTTGCAATGCCGGCTACACTGGCATCATCGCTGCGGCCCCGCTCGGGAGCGCAGGTTGTGCGGTCGGTTTATCTTTGAGTTCACGGTTGGTCGGTTGGACACGAGCTCCGGCCATGAATCTGGTGGAAGAGGGGTTTCGCTCAATGAGTGGCGAAGAGGGATCCTTGTTCATTTCTTGGAATTTGGTGCGAAGTCAACTTAAAGGCATACAACATACGGATGTGCGTTTTAGTCCATCTTATTTCCTTCGTCTCTGAAATGGGAAGACGTCGTTCATGTCTTCAACAGAAGCGCATCGCCCCTGGGACTTTGACTACATCCCAAGACCATCTGACAACCCTTTGGGACCACCGCGACGAGAGGACCCCTTGGAACGAGAGAGATGTCTCCTAAAGGTCATGATGGGACACGATGGATTTGATTTTAACATCGGATTTTTTAGATATATAATCAGTTTGAATGTCGGAGTGATCCTTGGCCCTAAAGGACCTACAGTTACATAGAAGACATAAGTCATGTATCAGTATCCATATGAGTTCCCAGAGAACTCACTCACGTCACAGTCTAATCAACAACCCGCTGCACCCACCAGACACCTGCATCACACCCATCATTCTTGCCACTTCTTCATCTATCAACAGCCACGTTCGAAAGACCTGAGCTCCCACACTTCGCAGACTGTTGCTTTTCGGAGCATGCTTCTGTTTGGCCCCCTACCGACCACCCAATGCCCTCCAACGCCCTCCGACGTCCCCTTTCAAAGTGGCCGCCTGGCGGGCCGACGCCATGACGGCCTTGTGGGTCCAAGCGTTGCTCTTCGGGCTCTTCTCAGCGTTGCTCGGGGAGGGGTATGAGGGGTCGAGCGATTGGTTCCTTTTTTAGGGGGGATGGCGGTTGGTGGGTGGGGTGTTGGAATTTGGGGGGATGGTTGAGGTGGATCCATTTCAAAAGCAGAGACGTTTTCCCTCCATTCTTTTAAAGCAAGCTTCATCTTGAAAGGGTGCAGATGAGTGAAGAAGGCTCCCAGTGACACGTGTTTTCTTCGACTTCTTTCAGGCAGAAAGTATGCTCGCTTTCAACTGCTCTGTTTGAAACTTGCTTTGTTCGCCACTAGGCTTCCATGAAAAAAACACAGGCAAAGCAACACAACTAGAGGCATTACCCTCAAATGCGGATCAACGATGTTCAACATGCACCCTCCACCTTGTGCACCAGGCCTTCCAACGAGCTCAAACTGAACCTTTCTCCCTACCTGGGACCCGAAAGGAACATCTCCGTCTCACTCCGTCTATTTCCGCCGTGCAACATGTGGGGTGCCGGCAGCCGGCGAGGCTGTCCTTGCCGTTGGGTGCCTTGCTGGGCCTGGCTTTGGCACCGGTCTCCGCGAAGGTGGGGCCGGATGAGCCGAAGATGGAATTGGAGGAGTGGATCTAAGGCTTGGGCCGGATGGCCATGCCAAGGGTTGCAGGTACCTGAAGAACATGAGGACATAAATCCGATGAAAAGACTCCCAAACCCCCACAGGGTCCATGGACATGCCTGACGGAGAACCTCTCAATGAAGATCCTTTGAATGAGTCATGAAAAAAACATCATTACTCTCTCAAGAAGATCCTTCTTTGGGCCCTATCTCGCACCACGATCGTTGCCCCTTACGTCGCCGGGTGATGGGGACCACGTCGGTCAAGTGTTGCGCGCGAAGGTCACTGCGCAGTGGATGGCCTTCGGCGGGGGGGGCGTTGGTCTTTGCCGTGGCCACGTGACCGGTGGATGGCTGTGGTGCGGAGGTGTGGAGGTGGTGGATTCGCTCCATCCACCGGAGGTGATGGCCTTGATATGCCAGTAGTTCCCAAGGGTGTGCTTGGTTGGAGGCAACAAGCCCTTTGTGACTCCTGGGATATTATATTATGTATAGATATGTATAGATACATTAATGCAGATTGTGGGCAGTATGGGCTGTGTGATGGGTGGCGGAGGGTCTTGGTTGATGTTCCATCCACTCAACCACTCTCATGACCGGGACGAATTCGAACAAACAACCGCGATGGGCCATGTTGGGCATTTGGTTTCATAACCTTGACACTGTGTTTGGTTAGCTTCTAGTTGGATTCGAGGGGTTGTCAGAGTGAGAAGCACGCAAGTCTGCGCTTGCTCGTTAGGCAGGTCGAGATAGTGGAGCAATGGGGAGTGCCTTCTGATTCTGTCCCCGTGATGGAGCCCCAAGTCTCAACGCTGCAACAACAAGTCATTGAAGCTTGAAATATATTGAAAGAAACAGGAACAGACCAGTCTGTGCAATGCAACCAGCCCCCTTCGCGCAAGATGTGACACAACCTCCAAGAAGTCCAATTAAGCAAGAACCCTTAACCAACCCTCCACCCTCCGAAACCCAACACAACATCCTGAAGCACCCAAGCAAACCGAATGACGCACACATGCACCCACACACACAAACACCAAAACTTGCCTTTTCTACATGTTTGCTGTAAAAATAAACTACCTCCCTCATGTGGTACTGTCTGTTCGTTTCTATGAATCACTCCTTGGAGTTTTTCTAAATTCAGATCTGCACATGTGGGTTTAAGTTGAGCCCCCAAACAGTTCGATGCCTTTGGAACCGCATGATGCTGGTTTGATCAAATCTCCTTGGGTCAACTTTCCCCGAAAGCTACCAGGTCCTGCACCAAGAGCATCTGCATGTATCCTTAGGAAGTTCGCAGCACACCACGGCATGTCCTCTGTACACGCTTTGGATTGTTTCTCCAGGTGACAGTGGACTGTTTCTCCAAGCCCCAACCTCCCGCCACTGAAACACTATGAAGCGGCCCGCAGTGCCATCTCGTTCTGGAACTCGCGCTAGCGGTCGTTCTGGAAAGTCCGGCAATTCAGGCAGGTACTTGGTGGATGGCTTTGGCTTATGGAGTTCAAAAGTTACCTATGGTTTTTCAAAAACTTATAGAGACTTATAAATTCAGCTATAGAAGTTACAAGCCAGCAGTTTTTAAATTAGTGCATAACTTAGCGAAGTTTAATTCATTAAACTTGTAGCTTTTATAAGTTCTCGAGACTTTTCCAGACACTACATTTTCGGTTGTTTGATAAAGTTTGACAAGTAGCCCAAAGAATGTTTCCTTTTTTGTGTGAAAAACATCTTTGCAGACAAGTGTTTGGTGTTTTTGGGGATCTCAATGGTGGGAACTGCAATGAAAAGCTTAAAGCTTACAGGGTGTGAAAGTGCTTCACTGCTACATGGACTTGCAAGCCTCACTAGAAATACCCAAGGGATACGTCAACATGAACTTCAAAAACAGCTTGCTACGATTGTATATGAGTTCGCATTCGATATTGAATCATGTCATGTGCCGCCCCATTAAGCAAGACTGAATGCTATATATTGATTCCTGTGCGGCCTATTGGGCCCGGGAGAGAGTTCAACCTTTTTTGGGGAGGTTTGGTTCAAGTCATACACGCACAAACTATGACCATGCTGTAGCTGGTAAACATTTGTTGGCCAAGAAAGTGAAACGTTGCCAACACACAATCAGTAATTAGTGAATGTAGCTCTGCTGTGTTCAAAAACCTAGGGTGGAAAACACGCCCACTACTTGTTCTTCTTTCCTTTCTTGTTCTTTTTGGGCATTGGTTTTGCTCTCCGGCTTCTCCTTCAAGCCAGTGTCATCCAACACAACCGTCCCCATGTTGTAGAGTTTGCCTTCGGCTCGTACAAACCCATCAACCAAATTGTTCAACCTGTAGTATATGTAGAACATGCTTCAACAAAGCGACCCACAGGGGCGCTTCCATTCATTAGTCAGAATGAAAGCTAACTCAATTATATCATCAATTTGGCGGCTCAACGAGCCGGTGTCTCCAATCTCTGTCTTTTGACGCTTGAAAAGCTCTCTTGGTGTTCCTCGTGAACACGATCAAAACAGCTGTGTATTGAAACACACAAAGTCTCAAAGTCTCATGAAAAAGTTCACTTTTCTAAGTTAGTTATAAGTTCTCTAAGCTTCTTTTCAAGCATATAAAGTTATAAAACTTACTCACTCCCACAACAAAATTAGAAAACTTATAAAAGCCAACCGCTCATCTACAAAACTTGGTTTTGCTCCTCTTCTTGCAAGTTTTTATAACCGCCTTATATATACCTAGGTTTTAACATATGTTCTAACAACATGTAAAGCCATCCACCAAGTAGGTCTGGCTACATTCACGAACATGAGGAGACTGCCCGCCCGCGTGTTCTTCTTAGGGTACGTCCTTGCCAGATTGCGCTCCGCAAGCAGAAAGTGTTACGGGACAGGTGCGCCTTTGAAGGGGTCAAGCAACGAGGCCAAGAAGATTGAGGCGTTCTCAACCTTCCAGACCATGAAGCGGTGCGTGTGCACCTGGTCCTGGACAACAGTACATTGGAGCTGTCCTATTTGTGCGCTGGCATTGAGACGGTGGTGCCATTTATTTGCGCGGTGCTTTCATGCACAGTGTTCAGTGGGTTCGGCCTCCTGTCGCTTTTCCTGTCTGAGTATATGAGCTTGCAGGGCGCAGCTTCCTGATGTGGAGGTATCGCACGTATCATAAGCAAGTGCAAATTCGGCGTTGCGCCTGACTCAGCCAGACCAGCCGTGGGTATTCTTAGACCACATTGGAACGGACGAAGCCAAAAGCGTCGCCGGAGAAGGCTGGCGTGTTTTTTTCCAGCTGAAAAAAGGAGCTGAAAAATGTTGCCAGCTGAAAAAATCGTCGCAAGCTTCCGAGACTCCATACATGGCTGTTGAAGGCGCTGGACGAAATAGGGCTCTGTTTGTAGGGCTTTCCGAACGAAACGTGCTAGACGAAACTTGGAAGTGCGTGTGTCGTTTTCTGGCTTGGGCAACTGGGATTGGAAGAGGTTGATGTTGCATTCAACTATGCACGTGCCGGATTTTGTGCAATTTTGACCAATCGTTTGGTTTCCTGTTGTGCAAAATGATTGTGTTCCAAAAAGAAGCGGAATCGTGTGTTCCAGAATGAGCTTGAGCGGGCAAATTCTGTGTGTTCC